ACTGCAATTACGTTGCCACCTTCTGCCTTTCCCCGATTATTTTTTATCTCTGTTCTCGGGGTGCCGCACGCGCCACGTCCCACGTCGTGGCGTCCTCCTGTTCTCAGAAAGCGAGGTACAGCAAAAGCAAAGGGAAAGCCAAACCACACGGGCCCCACACACCCCTGCCCCAGCAGGCAACAGACTCATTTCGTGCGTTTCTCAACACCGCATATGTATCTATTTATTTATTTATCTTAGATGTAGAATACGAGTTAGGATATCTGAATCCCTCGACTAGAACGATGAGCTCGCATGCGCAGCCGGTGCATGACGTGTTGGGACGCATGTCGGATGACGAAGGCGAAGATGACGTGCCCAACGACCTCAACCTCACCTTCGTGCCCAAGTCGGAGCGTATGAAGCGTGTTCGGCAATCGCGCCAAGTAACTGGTGGTGCGGCAACCGTGCCACAGTCCGCAAAAGCATCTTCCCCCGCCACCTCAGCCGTTCCGGCAGTGCGCACCGAGACGGTGTACGAGCAGGAGCGCAACGCGAAGGTGCGCGCGGTGCTCGCTGAGCAGCAGCGGGGTCACCCGCAAAGCGGCGTCTTCTTGCTCGACCTCTTTGACGGACACCGCGACGGAGGGTCCCCTCCGCCGCCTGCGGTGTCGGGAGCGGGAGCCGCTTCTTCCTCTTCCGCATTGAGTTTTACACCAGGTGGCGCGCAGTCGCACCGCGGGCGTCGTCCGTACGAGTCCGGACAGTTTCGTGGAGGCGCGAGCCGCGGCTCCGGTTGTCCCAACGGCAACACGGCAAACAACTCGAACAGCGCACACGGCGATGGGCAGCGGCGCGATCGCGTACCGCACCCGAACATGACGGAGGAGGAAAGGGCCCGTTTTATTCGATCTCGCCGCAACATGGCCGTCACCCGCAACGCGCTGCGGGAGGTCGACCCGGAGACGCGGGAGTACCTACAGGTGACACAGGCGGCGGATCAGGTGACGTCTGGGCGAGGCAGTGGGTCCACCACGCGCTATAACACGGGCTATCCTTACGGCGGAAGTAGCTTTCGTGGTCGCGGCGGGTCTGCGAGTACCGGGCGTGGGATGGGCTACCGCGGCAGAGGCGGTGAGGGCCGCGGTGGGAGTCGTGGACAGGGGTACGGTGCACCTTTCAGTCCTTATTCGTGAACCTAACCGGAGGAGGAGGAGGGAGAAAACGCCGCTGAACTACCTCCCTCGTTGCGCTCGCCCTGGCGATCTCTACCTGTTGCCGCGATTATTACCCCCAAAGAATTCACAAGGGCGATGGAATGCGTCGAAGCAGCCGATGCTCAGCTTCGCTCCTTTAACACGACGAATAAATGTTTATTATTCTTATTATTATTATTATTATTATTATTATTATTAAAGAGAGTACTGGTTTTGTTGATTCTTTGGTTCATCAAATAAACACCTCACTAACGTAAATGCAAGCAACTGCTCGGCCTCACACCTCCCTCTCACTGCCGCGTTAGTGGATCTGTCGAGCAAAACAACGTCAATCAAAGTAATACGTAACCCTTTCTTCGCAAGGCAACGTTCACGTCCTGTCATCGCCAGCATCCACCCTTCTCCTCTTTTCTGCTCCCGCTTCCTCTTTACCTCGTTGGGGGCCGTTTCAACGTGCAATGCACGCCGCAGCGCAGCGCCTCTTTACAGCCCCAGTCTCTTCTCCATGAGCTCCCACGCACACAATCGCACCGTCGCCGCGGCGCAGGAGCCGGCACGGAAGCGTCTAGCAACAGAGGCAGGCAAGGGCCACCGCTACCCTGCTACACCCACTTCACACCATACGCAGGACTCCTCAGCAGCAGATGCGCGAGCGCGCTTCCTGCGGGAGTTGGAGCAATACGCCAGCGACGACGAGGACGAGGTGGTCGCCGTCTCACGCAGCCGTGGCGACGGTGTCGCCGCATCTCCTGTCCTGTCTGTGCCAAACCAGATAGCGTCCACACTGTTGAATATATCTTCTGCGCCGCCACCGTCTCCTGCATCGTCAGCATCGGTTGACAACTCCGACTTCTTCTTTGGGCATGCCACGCAGCTCACAAACCGCGTGGACCGTGACGACGCTGACGGCCACGCCAACAGCACTGCGGACAACAACGGTGGCGCACTCCAGCAGCGCAACGGCGCATCGGCTGCTGGCAGCGCACGTGCTGCGTCGCGCATCGGTCTGAGTTTGCTGCATCGCATGCACGCGGAAACCACGCCTGCGAGCACAGAACGTGGTACGACCAGGAAGCCAGACACGTCGAAGGGACCGGAGGCGCGTGGGCCGTCGTCGGCTGCGTTTGAGGTCGTCCACGCCTATGCCCCGCTGAGCACCGGCGGCTTCCTCAGCACAGCCACTGCCGGAGACGACCTCATGGAGGGCCGCCAAGTTCGGGTCGGTGACGTGCTGTCGCTGCGGCAGCGGCGCGGTGCCACTTCCCTGTCCTCGCAGGCTTCCAGTACGCTCTTAGCAGGCAGGACAGGCTCTGTGCACACGCCCGTTTCGCCCCAAGCGAACACAGCGCCTCCGCTTCTCCCGCCTTCGTCTTCTCCCGTACCGTCCTCTCCCCTCACCGCTCGAATCTCTGCGGATGCGGCGCAGGAGGCCCTCCACCACTTCAAACCCGCTGCGTCCTTCACGGACGGCGAAAGGGGCTACGGCATGCAGCTTCCACCGGACATGGTGCGCCAGCTCCTCGAGGTCACCCGTGTCGACCCGCACGGCCGCAGCGTCGAAGCTCTTTTCTTAGACGGCACACGTGAGAAGCTGCCCTTTCGCGACGTCCGCCCGGCCGGCTACGACGAGCAGAGACGCTACGCGCAGTGGAAGGCGGACCCGTCCAGTCGTCCCGTCGCGACGATGCACAGCGGGGCCTCTTCGCCGACCAGTGCGTCTGCGCCCGGCACGCACCCCGCCTCTCCGGTCGCGCAAACGAGTGCGACCGCACAACAAGCCAACAGCACCGTCGTCGCGGCAGCGGATACTTGGTGGGTCATTCCGCATCTTCTTGTGCGAGTGGCCACGGAGGTGGCGGGGGACTGGTACGGCAAGAAGTGTGCTGTCACGGCAGTCCGGCGAAGCGAGAACGCGATACGGCTGACGGAGTGGCACGACGAGGCGCAGAGCAGCGGCGGTCACAGCAGCCACCGCAACGCCGCCGAAACACGGGAGCTGATCGGCGCGGATGGACTCGAGACGGTCGTGCCGAAGAAAGGAGGGCGGGCGGTGATTGTGCTGGGTCCGCGGAAGGGCGAAATCTGCACTGTGCGCAGTCGCGTGCGCGGGCCCATGGGCGACCTGACCGGCGTCGAGGTGGAGATACGTCGCACGAATGAAGTGGTGACGTTGCAGGCGGAGGAGCTCTGTGCCCTTGCCCGCTGATGGCTGCGGGGAGGGGGGGTGGAGGGGCAGGACCGACTCATTTCCCTCTTCTCACTCCCCTCACTGCTGACTACCTCTGTTATTTGTTTCCCTCCTCTCTTACACCACACACGCGTGATAGTTCTCGCTGCTCGAGCAGGCGCACGTAAACGGCGAAAAGAGAAGTGTCACAAGAGTAGTAATAATACGTGCAGCATCAGCTGTAGAGGAACAAGAGCACGCAGTGCGTTCTGCGTTCTCCGATTGATGCATCGCTCTGCTCGCTCCTTTCTTCCTTCTTTCCTCACGCGGCATGGTCCATGGCCGTCTGCTGCCTCTTCGCTTCCTCCTCCGCACGTGTTGGCAGTAACGATTAAATACCGACAAAAAGCACATCCCTTTCATTATCACGCCCTCCCTCCCCCACTCCACTCTCTCCCCACTCCGCCGACACGAAGGCAAACATACCACTGAGCATCACCGATGACAACGCAAAGGGCAAGGGATACGACGTGCACATGTCTGAGATAAACGAAAGTGGTGTTGTCGACGCAGCCCTCTACTTTGAGCAGCGTCATGGACGGAGGGCGTTTGCGGAAAGGAACGCGTCACAGCTCCTCCTCGGTGATGGCGCCTACAACCCTTTCCAGAACGAAACGTGCGGTTCCAGGAAGGCAACGCTCGAGGCGCCGAATACGGCAGTGCGTCATTCCGATAGGAGTGGCCGTTGCGCGCAAGAAGATGCTGACGGGCGGCCTGTGCGACGACCGCGTGGACCGGGCAAGGACTTTGCACGCTACATCGAGGCCAACGGCTTTCCGGCCGACGCCGCTCGCCGCAGCGCGCGTGTCGATGTGGCGCGCGAGAGGCTCTATCAGTACGAGCACGACGGTCTGCATACGCATAAAAAGCTGATGCGAATGCCGTTCCGCTCGAAGCAGTGCGACGGTAATTTGCAGCTGTTTCTGCGGCCAGAGGAGGCGCAGGCTCGAGCAGACGCACAGCGGCAGCGGCAACTGCAGGGGCAAGTCGCTTCTTCGCCTGGAAGGTGTTCCCCGCTGCCGACAGAAGTCCACCATAGTCGTTGCTTGGCGAGCACTCCACTCAATCATGATGACAGCAGTTTTACTCTCACGCACGTGGACAACGGCGATGGAAAGCAGCGTTCTGTCGAGCGCACAGCTCAGCTACGTCACCGGTTGCAGCTACTGGAGGAATTGTACGCGAGGGAGTACGCACGCTTAGAAGAACTAACTCTTAGGCCCCACGAAGGAGAAGCGGTCGAAGACGAAGATGCCAAGAGCGACTCCGGTCGATTGCAGCAACCTTGCCCACCGGATGCTTCGTTAGAGCAGGCGATGGACCACGTGCAAGCGCAGACTTCTCCGCGACGTCGTCGTGCACGGTGCGCCAGTGAAATGCAGGTCCAAGGTGAAGCCGCAACTCATGAAGACTCGACGACGTGGTGTGCGCATCGGTCGCAACGTCCTGTGCAGCCGTGGGAACGCGCGTGCAGTGACGCGGGCGCGGCCGAAGAGGATGCATCTTCGCCGGCGCGACAGCCGCCTCCGGGTGATGAAACGGAGTTTACGGGCCTCGAAACGCCACAGGGCGAGCTCGATGATGTTTCCAGCTTTTTCTCTGGGAGTACACAGGTGGATGGTTCTCGGCGAGAGAGGCGTGTGCGTCCAATCATCACGCCATCACCCGCGGGTCAAGCGCACGGTTCCACATCTCCGCAGGCGTGGTTCATTCCTTCTCCCCAGCAGCCTTCTGGTGTCTTCGTATTGAGGCCGACGTTGAGGTCTGACACATCGTCTCTGCAGAAGACATCGCCGCCTCCAAGACGCCGGCAGCAGCAGCGCTGGGAAGAAGCCGCACAACGCGAGCAGCGTTTTTTGACGCCTCCCGTGGTAGAACCGCCAGTTTCCACAGTGCGACCTCCGTCAGCTTCGCTGTTCGCTTCACGTACAACGAAGTCTCTCCGTGACGTGGTTGCCGATCGGCAGGCTACATCTTTTCTAATGGATGATAAACGTGTTAGTGTGCCTCCGTTGCCGGTGCAACAGCCAACAGCCGCGCCAACAACGGCACCTCGGACGCTGCGCGAGGTTTGCCGTGCTCTGCACGCGCCACTGTGAATTTCCCGACGGAGGAGCGGTTGGAACTGGAAACCGATAACAGCCACGGCAGGCAGGAGACCCTCGGTGACCATCTCCGTGTGTCCTCGATTTATCAATACATTGCTGTTGTTTTTCTTTCCATTTTAGAGACTGCTATGTTAGACAAAGAAAACAGTAAATTGAATGGTATTGATTGAGATGAAGTCACACTGCACTCTACGCTGAGGCTGACGTTTCTCCTCTTGCTTCGTTGTGGGGGGGGGGGAGGCTGGGGGATGGTGTTTTAGATCCTCCATCATCCGCGTTCTATGGCGTGTTCTCAACGCCATATATTTTTAAAAGGAAAGAAATGGCTCTCTTTGATCGTTGCGTTTCTCTCTACTCCTCTCTCCTTTCATTCTCGCATGCTCTTTTAATGATACCTGCGAAGTCGCTGCTCTTGTACGTCTCCGGTGCACGATCGTGGGTGTACACGCCTCCGTCTTCAAGCCAGTTTTGCGTTGTCGTTGCATGCGAGTCGCCGGTGCGCGCTGCGTCTTTGTGCTCTCTCGCGCCCTCTCCACCCCCGCGTTGCTCTCACGCAGACCTTCACCGTCCTCGCTGTTAAAAGGCAAAGAAGAAGCCAGTCTCTCTGATTCACACGCTCCGCGACAAATGGACGGCCTTCGCCCTCAACAGCACGGTCGACCGCACGCAAAGCGCAGTACCGCACACCCCGCAGGACCCTGCGAAAGCGGCGGGGGAGCCGGGCTGCCCAGTGCCCCCGGTGCGCAACTGGATGCAGAGCTGGTTCGTCAAACCCTTGCCACGGGGCCCCTCTCACCACCGCAGCAGCCACAACAGCGGCCGTCGTCGGGACATAACAGAAACGTGAAAGCGACACAAGGACGAAGTGAAGCGAGCGCGGCCGTCGCGACCACCGCCACCGCCGCCGCCTCGTCATCCATTGCGCCGCAGCCCTTCGATGTGTACGTGGTGCTCGACTTCGAGGCGACCTGCGAGGAAAACAGGCGCCTCGCCGACCCGGAGGTGATCGAGTTTCCCTTCGTCCTCGTGGACGCCCGCACGGCGCGGCCGGTGGCGGAGTTTCAGCGCTACGTCAAGCCCGTGAGGCACCCAACGTTGTCCGCCTTCTGCACCGAGCTGACCGGCATCACGCAGGACACGGTGGACGGCCGGCCCACGTTTCCGGCGGTCTATCGAGAGGCGCTAGACTTTATCGCACGTGCCGGTCTCGGCGATGCCCCTCCGTGGCGCAGCTACTGCGTGGTGACCTGCGGCGACTGGGATCTGAAGGTGATGCTGCCGGCGCAGATGGCTGTCAGCGGGCAGCAGGGCGTACCCGCATCGTTCCAGCGATGGTGCAACCTGAAGAAGCTGATGGGACAGCTGAACCTTGCACCGTCTTCTGGTGGTGGTGGTCGCAAGAATGGCGGTGCGCCGTCTGGTATGCCGGAGATGCTGCGCCTGCTGGGACTTCCACTGCAGGGCCGCCACCACAGCGGCATCGACGACTGCCGCAACATTGCGTCGGTGTTGTGTGAATTGCTGAAGCGCGGCTACGTGGTCGACGCTACCTATGACCCGGCGCGGTCGTCGTCGCCCTCCGCGCAACCAACTCGTTGGCACGCCCCGCTGCAACAGACAGACGCTGCGCAGTTGCCGGCCCTCGAGTCGCTGGTGAGCAGCCTCGCCGATGGCCCGGATTCCACCGGACGACGAGCCACCGACACACCGCCGCGTACGCAAACACGCAAGGAGAAGAAGCCTGTGCCGTCGACGCCCACCGTTGGCGCTGCCCCTCCTCCGCCTCGCCGGACGGTCCACATTGACACAGGTAGAAACGCCGTCGAAGAGCTCTTGCGCAGTGCCGCCCCTTCCACCAGCGCATCTAGTACGTTTTCCCCGCAGGAGCAGAAAACCATCTCGAAGTTCCTCTCCACCCTGCTGCGGCACAAAGCGGATCAGTGGAGGGTGCCCATTACCGCAAACGGCTACGTGCTGGTGGCGGACGCGTTGCGGCAGCCGCAGGTCGCACAGAGGCATCTGACGCCTCAAGACATCGCGTTGTTGGTGCGCGACTCCGACAAGCAGCGCTTCCGCCTTGCCTTTGGCGCGGAGGACGGTCGGCTGTACATCGCTGCCGCGCAGGGACACAGCATGGATGGCGTAGAGCCGGAGCTGCGTGTGCTGACCAACCCGGACGAAGTGCCCGTGGCGGTGCACGGCACCTACTGGGCTGCGTGGCATCTCATTGAAGGGTGTGGCTACATGAGCACCATGACGCGACAGCACATTCACTTTGCGAAAGGCCTCATGCACGACGGGGAGGTGATCAGTGGGATGCGCAAGGATGTGCAGATTTTCATCTACCTTGACGTGCCCGCCGTGTTGGCCGACGGCGTCCCGCTGTTCGAGAGCTCCAACGGTGTCATCCTCACACCTGGCGTGGGCGACACCCGACAGCTGCCGCTGAAGTACGTGGCGAAGGTGGTGGATCGTAAATCAGGGCGGACAGTTTACCCAATCGATGCACCACGGTGACCCCGATTTGTTGCCCACCGGCGTTGGCCACGCTCAAGGTTTCCACGGATGTTTCCCTTGGGAGGTATTGGCGGCCGTTTGTCGAGTTCGTTGGATCTTTCGCATATTCCAATCATGCGTAGCCATACTTTACATCCCTTATATGCTCTCCTTCTCTTTCTCGTTTGCGGTTGTGTCTTCCGCTTCTGTCACTTGTTTCTATTTCTCCCTATATATTGTGTCTGTGTGTCTGTCTGTGTGTGTTTGTGTGTTTGGTGGTTGCTTCCGTTGCTTGGTCGTCGAGGGTGAGGAGCGCAGTGCGAAGGCAGGTTCCTGATTGGCCCCTTGTTATCTGCTCCGTTACTTTATTCGGCAGTATCGCCCCCGCTACTCCTCCTACACTGAAAACAAATACACTTCATAAAGAATCCATGAGTTTTACACGACGATTACGATTGTTCGTTCCTTTTTTTCTCTCTTTTCTGACTTGCGATGTGCTTTTGACGGCTATCTTCTCGTTGTCATGGCGGACTCATGGCCTTCCACGGCGGCCGCCGCGACTCACTTCATCATCCGTTTTCTTATCCCTTTTCTTTTGTCTTCCCGGCGATGGCCTCGTGCTGCTTTTTTTTGTTTTGTCTTCTCCACCGTCGCGCATCCGCTTCGATGCAGCTCTGCACAACGCCCTTTGACGAGCGCTGCAGCACACATACACCTTCACACACGAGCGCAGCGCCCTTCACGTTTTCTCCATCTAACATACTCGCGGAGGCTCACCTTACATACACTTCAACGGTGTACAATCCATGGCGGCTGCGTCTTCGTCTGCGCTGCCACGCGCGTGTCTGCGCCCGCTGCAACAGCCCCCACTCGACGCCATCACGGTGTACAACACGGCGACCCACTGCTACCTGCTTGCCACCGACAGCCTGCAGCGCGACTTCCACCTCCTGGCCTGTCGGAAGCACAGTCTTGATGAGGCAGTGAGCTGCGACGGTGGCGCCAATACGAGCAGCAGCAATCACACCTTCAACACCGCGTCAGAGTCGGACCTGGAGGATCGCGGTGGTCGCCCTACGCTTGGCACTCCGTCGCAACGCCAGCAAGGGCCGTTTTGCGGCCTTGAAGACCTCCACGACCACACCACGTACGCCGTTTACTCGCCCACCGAGGCCGCGTCCCTCGTGGAGGCGCTGCAGCGCGAGCACGGCGCTTCCATGCAAGTTGTCAACGCCGTCGCCCTTCTCGGCGCGGTGCGGTTCACGGAGGGCTACTACCTGGTACTCGTGACGGAGCGGCGGTCGGCGGCGTACCTTGGCGTGCATCGTCTCTTTGAGGCTGCAGCGGTGGAGTTGGTGTCGCTCCTGCTGGACGGCGACTGGGCCGCGGAGCAGATGCCGTCACCGCAATCGTCACGCCGGAGCGGGGAGATGGAAGGCCTCTCGTTGTTTTCCATGTCGAGTGGTGGTGGTGGCGCCGCCGCCGCCGCCGCGTCGGGCAGCAGCAACAGCGGTGGGCCCACCACCGCCTATCGAAAGCCGCACACCTCCTACCGAAAGTCCTCCTCCTCTGCAACTGCAGCGGCCGCGGCGTACCTGTTCCAGCGCCGCTCCTTGGAGGAGCTGTACCGTCAGCAGTTTCTCAGCTCTCTGTCCCGCTCGTCGTCGTTCTTCTACTCGCACAGCTACGACTTAACGAACACGCTTCAGCGGAACACACTGGCCGGTGGCGCCGAGGCACGCGCGAAGGAGCGGGGGGAAGAGGTGGGAAGTGGTGGTGAGGCGACTCCTCCTCCTCTTGAAGCCCGCCAGGGGGATACGAGTCGTACGAAGGACTTTCACGGCAGCAACGCCACGCCAGACGGCAGCTCGTTGCACCTCAGCAGCCTGCACCAACCACGCATGCAATACGTGTGGAATGAGTATCTATTGGAGCCGTGGGAGCTGCCGGAGCGCGCCGCCGCGCACACGGATGCGGACGAGCGGGAGCGGAGTACGAGTCCCAACGGGCGTGCCCCGGGCGCAGCAGACGACACAGCTGGTATGTGTGCGTGTGGGCCAGACGGACCCTCCGCGCATTCTTTGCCTTCTCGTTCACGCGCCGCAGCACCGCAGTATCCGGCGGCGTTTGCGCGGTGGCGAACCTACATCATGCACGGCTACGTCACACAGCGCACGGTGGTCGTGCACCGTCCCGCCTTCCACACCCTCTTACTCACCCTCATCGCCCGCGTCAGCAAAGCCTCCGCCGGCGTGCGTTACCTGCGCCGCGGCATCAACAGCGACGGGCAGGTGGCGAACCACGTGGAAGTGGAGCAGATCGTCAGTGACGAGTCGGCGTGGAATAGGTCCTTTACCGAGGGTGCCCTCAGCTCCTACGTGCAGCTGCGGGGGTCGGTGCCGCTGCGGTGGTATCACCCGCCGACGGCCTCGCGGCTGCTGCCGAAGCCGCCCATTGTGATTGGGCCCCCGGATGCGGAGTGGAGTGCCACCTGCCTGCACTTTCAGGATCTGCTGCGGCAGTACGGTGGACCCATCCTGGCACACGATTTGCTGAAGCGGCGGGAACACCACGCACGTGAGTGTGTGCTGGGTGACGCCTATCGCGCGGCGGCGCAGGCGTTGTCGGCCGCTGTGGACCGCGCTGCCGCGCGACACATTCATCGCACAGAGCGGCAGCAGCAAAGCTCTCACGAAGAGGACCCGCTTGCGACGCCGCTGCGCAGCTCCGATGTGCTGCAGTATGAGTCGACAGACCTCCGCGACCTTGGCCCATTGGCGTGGAACACGATGACGGCCATCGCAGAGCACCACTTTGACCAGGGGCACTGCTTTGTGTGTCGGCGGCGGCCACGTGTGCAAAGCGCAGACGCAAATCCACCCTCCTCCTCCCAATCAGCACCAGCGACCACCTCTCCCGCACACGACGACTGTCCTGCGGTAGCCGTGCAGCTTCAATGCGGTGTGGTGCGCAGCAACTGTCTCGACTGCATCGACCGCACGAATCTTGGTCAACTCTTTCACGGCCTGCACGCACTGGGCGAGCAGCTGGCCGGCCTGGGCCTGCTGCACCACGCCGCCGATCTGCGCGACTCCCCGGCGGTCACGGAGCTGCTGCTGGAGATGTACCTGGCGATGGGTGACGCCCTCGCCATGCAGTACGGCGGGTCGGCGCAGGTCGGCGCTGGTGTGCTGCACCGCGGCGCGGGGTGGGATCAGCTGATGGGGGTGAAGCGGCTGTATAACAACATGATGGGCGATCGCGAAAAGCAGGAAGCCATCAAGCTGCTGCTGGGCCGAACGCAGCCGCACCCACGACAGCACTCCCGTGCGCGCAACGCCGACATGCACCGCCCTGGGCAGGTGCTACCGCTTGCGTGGAGCACCTCCTTATCCGACACGCCCTCGCTGAACTCGTCCATCACGGCCGCCACGCCCGGTCTCGCGGAAGCCGCGGCGGCAGCAGCAGCTCGCGGGTCGCCATCCAATAGACCTTACGCCTCCCCCAGCACTGAAACGGCGCTCGTGTCGGTGTCGTCGGCGTCGTTCTTCACAAACGTGCTGCGCGCTGCCTCGCGTTGGTGGGGCGAAGCCACCGGTGTGTCTTCAGCCGCGTCCACGGCGGCGGCGGCGGCGGCGGTCGAGGCGCTTCGAGCTGCCCAACACGCTGCCGCGGAGGCGGAAGCGGAGCCGGACTACTACGAGAACGTCTCGGCCGGCCCACGTCTGCCACCGGTTGGTTTGTTAGCGTCGTGGTGGGTGCAGCCGCTGAACGAGTTTGCGGCGTGGTATGCTGCCTGTGGAATTGCCGAGAGCGGCGGCGCCGGGGCGGACGAGCAACCTCAGCGGTCTCGTCGAGACGAAGAAGGAGAGAAAGCGGCAGCCGGTCCTTCGCTTTCTTTGCAGTCCTCTTCTGCAGAGCCCCCTTCGCGTTCTCCCATCGCAACAGGGGCACCCGCACGACTATACACCGTACCTGCCGCCACGCTCGACGATGCCCTCGCCCAGCACCTTCTGGCGGAAGATGACATGGCCCAGCAGCGGTGGCTGCTGTACGTGGCCCGGTGGGAGCGGCAGGCGTGTCTGGCTCCGTCACCGTCATCGTTGCTGCACCAGCAGCGTGGTGCTGCCGCCTCTTCTACCTCTGGCGGGGTTGGTCTAGGCCCCGCTGAGCATGACGGCAGGTGGGCTTCCCCGGTCACCAACTTCAACTTGTGGTTCAATCGAGGTGTCGGGAGCGGAGGGGAGAGTGTGCCGTCGCGCACCACCGCGGCAGCAGCAGTAGCAGCAGGCTCCTCCATGCAGCCATCGGTGTCCACCTGGGGGATGGAGGAGGTGGTCGAGACGGGCGGCGCTGCTGACCCTCCTGAGAGCGCGTTATTGCTGAGCGATGGGCCGTCGATGTCCGCCAGTACGGCGGCTGCTGCAGCTGCCTCCGACGCCGATTCAGCATTTGCGCCGCTTTCCCTGACGTTGACGCCGTCACTTTTCGATGGCCCGTGGATTGTGCTGCGCACCACGACACACCTCCTGCCCCTTGACGACGCCTCCCACCCCAGCAGCACGACTACAACGGCCACGGCGAGGCGCAACGGAACGAAGCCGAAGGAAACGCCTTCCACGGCAGCCGCTTTACGCTTGCTGGACTCGTGGAGAGGTGCGAAGGACGGCCACACGAAAGCAGCGGCGTCTCTGTCGCCGTTTACATCACACGGGAATCGAGAATACCCAGCTGCGTGGCTAATGGACAGCGCCGTCGTCTTGGCGGTGATGCGGCAGCTGTTTGGCTGCGTTCCTGCTGACGCGGCCTCCATCGTGGCATCATCGTCTCTTTCCTCTTCCCCCAGAAACACGACAGATTCCGTCAGCGGACCGCACAAGTGGCGCTGTCCGGAAGAAGCGCACGACCACAAGGCGTTTCCGCGCACCGTGCACACCAGCGTGTTTGCGCAACAAGCGGAGGCGTTGGAGGCGCTGGCGTGTTGTGAAACATTGTCGGTCGCCGCCGGCATCGGCGTGGGGAATACGGCGACGTTACTACCGCTGCCGGGTACGGAGAACCCCCGTCGAGGTGAGGCGTCTCTTCGATGGACGGGGGACCGACACATCGGCTCCGTACGTGGCTTCGCACCTCTTCCACAGCCAAACGGAATGCCGCCGCAGATAACGACGCTGTCGGTGGCGGGCTGCGCATGGAAGGATCAGCACTTCACGGCTGCGTTGTTGAGTGAGTTGTACGGGCCACCGGACTATTGGGGAACGGAGGAGGTGGTTGTGGTGCTGCAACGGCTGCTCTACCCTGCCCCGCTGTCCCCCGCCGTGCAGCGTGTTTTACGCGACGCTCGTCTACAGCCAGCACTCAGCGGTGCGGAACTGATGAACTCCAATGCATCGCAAGCGACGAAGGGCACGGACAGCGTGCGCAGCTATTGGCAACGTCGACTGTCAGCGGCGGAAAGGTCACAAGTAGAGACCTCGCAACAGCACCCAACGCAGGAGAAAGCGGCGGCTTCGAAGTCTGCATCGGAGGCGTTGAGCTCCGCTGTAACGCTGCTGTGCCGTCTCTCCTCCATCCTACGCTCCGCAACCTCAGTTCTGCCGGAATCAGCGCTTGGGGGAGGTCGAAGCAGATCGTCTTCGCCTGTCACGCCGGTGCCGCCGCCTTTTTATATGCTCGACCATGAAAGTGACGGTGTTAGTATGGCGGGGTCGCGCCCCTCTGACGGCGCACCAGTGGAAGAAGAGACGTCCGCCGCCGCCGCTGTTGAGCCGCTATTGCAAGACGAGCGTGGTGACGTTCCTGCGGCTGTGCGGCTTCAGCTTCTGCTTCCCGATCACCCTTGTCTCCCCGAGTGTGCACGTCGGTATTGGCTGCTCTGTCGCCTGTTCCAGCCTCTCTTTCCTTCCTCGGTGCTGTCTCTCTGTCTGCTGCACCGCCTGCTGCAGAGTCTCTTCTGCGAAGTACCGTGTACAGGGGCGGACAACACCTGCCTGACGCCGTCTGCTGTTCCGTACATCCCACACCGTACGCGCGACCACGTCCGCTACACCTTTGCCCTCTCTCCTCAGATCCAGACACCACCGCAACCGCAGCAACAGCAACACCGAGAGCAGCAGATCCGCTCGCAGCTGGCCGCGGGGGCCTTCACGAGCCTCAGCAGCGGCGGCGGCGGTGGCGCGGAGAGGGCACCATCGCTGCCGTCGTCGTCGTCGACGGCGGCGGCGGTTCGTGAAGGCTCCCCTTTCTCCTCCTCCAACCTCACCTCTTCGTCTTCTTCCGCGGTGCACGCCGTGCACATCCCAGCAACGTTGAAGGTGAAGCGTTGCTGCTCCGCGTTGGAGTTGTTTCGGTGGTGTGCTCAGTTTCGCACGAACTGCGGCCGCGCTCACGTGGCCGAAGGGGGGCTGTCCAGGCCGTCTAGCTCGTCGACGGCTGTGAAAGGAGCTGAGGTGCCGCGCGTGGAGGCCGACGAGGAGGCCGCGAGTGCCTCCTGGCGTATTCTCTGGTGGGCGGTGGAGAACAACGTCGTCGTGCCGGTGGTGCGGCGCCGCGAGCAGACCACGCTGGAGATGCTGGCGGATGAGACGGCGCTTTTCTGCGTTGTGGACGATGTACCACGCGTGGCCCTCAACATCGAGCGCCGCAGTCGCGGAGAGGTGTGGCGACACGCAGAGCAACACGACCACCTCGCCGGAGGGTGTGCTTGCGGCGGTGGGCTTAGCGCAATCTACGGAGTCCACTTCGCCGCGTCGTTCCCTGTGCACCGCCTCATGCATCGAAGTGCGCTGGCTGACATGATCACCCTCAGCGAAACCATCGCCAGTCTCGGACTGGGCGCCGCGGCCCGTCTCCAAGAGTTTTTCCGCGACTACACCCAGCATGGATGGACACGGATAGGTCTAAGGGCGTCAAGCAATGATAACGGTGGTGGCGGTGGTCACGACACAGCCAACACAAGTTGCACAAACCTAAGCCGCTGCGTCTCTTCGTTGCCATCCACCGGGGCAGGCGCTACGGTGGCAGCCGGGAATGAAGGAGGGGAATCCGGCATCGGTGGTTGTGGCCCCTCTTCACCTTCCGCGACGGCCGCCGCAGACGCGTCGGTTGCCGTCACGCCCGCTGACATCATCACGCACTTCAGCCAACTGGCGGAGGAGTACCTGCAGAGCATACAGAGTGTCATGGTGGCGCTGCAGTTTGTGTCGCTTGACGCACTCGCCGATGAGCACGCGCTGCACGCACACGTCAGCTTCTTTATCAACGTGTACAACGCCGCCTATGTGGTGGCGTGGCTGACGAACGTGAAGGAGTTAATCAGTTCCGCTGCGACGGCAATGGAGAAGGTGAAGGTAGCAGCATCGCTCGCCACTCCTCGCCTTCCTCGTCCGTCTGCGGCTGCAGGGGCTGGGTCGGCGTTGCGCACCGTTGACCTGCTGCCGCTGCCCACTCTGTGCAACACGAACATTGCCTGCTTCATGCACACCTACGGCGTCGTGATTGGACACGTGTTTGTGAGTCTCGAGGAAATGAAGTACGGCGTTTTGGGCGGCAACCGCCCCCCGCCGTACCGCGATACCCCGCTGTGGTCCTCCTCGCTCGGCACTGCGTCTTCGACTTCGCCATCGACACAGCCGCAGCAGCCTAATGGAGCAGACATGGCCGACGCATCTGCGCACCGCAGCAGCAGCGATTCGAGGAGGAGTTCGTGGCGGTGGATGTCGTTGGTGCCGCTGCATCTCCGCGCGGAAATACCAGAGCCGGCGAGGCTTTCTTCGCTGCGAGGGCATGCACACCTGCAGGCGGCACTCAAAGGGAGAGAGCTGTGCGACCTGTATGCGCCGGACGGAGCGGCGAATAAACAGAAGATCACCGACGAGCGGCGAGACATGCAGCCCTCTTCGTCGTTGCCACCACCACAGCCACAATCCAGCGGCAAGGCAACGCGTGCGCCGTCTGTGTCTTCAGTCGATGCCTCCCTTGAACCCCTCACCAGCCGTGGCGCACCACCGCCGTCGTCCACATCCGCGCCGTCCCTTCACGGAACGCCGAAATCCCTCGCGCACACCACCGCATCCTTGTACCCCACCACGCCAGCCTTTGAGCAGCAGCGGCGGCGCTACGGCGAGCTCGCCGAGGCGTGGAGCACCGACGTGGTGCGGCACCTGCCCTTTCGCATCTGTCTGCAGCTCATCGACACGTACCTCCCGCCCCCGATCTTTCACCTCTGCCACGCCACGGAGGGCAGCAGCAGAGCGGACGGCACGACCACCACCGGCGGTGGGGCGGATGGCGGAAGCATGGGCGGGGTAAACGCGCGCGCTGCCTCGCTCGACGCGCACCTCCGCCTCGACGTGGATGCGGAGCGCGTGCCGTGGCATCTGCAGCCGATTCTCAACACGATGCCGCTCGTCCTTCCCGCCCTGCAGAGCTCGAAGCTCGGCGCGGTGTACAGCGTGGCGTGCGACGGCGATCGCGGCCATGGGCGGGCACGCGGGGCGCTGGTGCCGCAGGTGAACCCCGAGGCGAACGGCGTCCTCCTGCAGCCTGGCCGCATGTGGAGCAGCCCGTCGTACTACGTGGTGGGCGGCGACGGCGCCAACGCGGAGGCGGCCACCGCCCATGCCTTCCAGCTGCTGCAGTCTCTCAGCGGGTCGTACCTCGGCGTGCACGGTTATCGCAGCGGGGGTAGCAGTAGCAGTGGAAGCGGACCAGCGGTGGCGCAGCATCTCTGTGTGCCGATGCATCACGAGGAAGTCTTGGCGCAGCTGCGCGCGACGGAGGCGGCGTTTCGCACTGCGCTGCGGAGCACCGATCCGCAGCTGTTCGCCAAGACGCAGACGTCGTCGTCAGCTGTGCAGCGGCAGCAGCAACGCACGTCTCCGCGCGGATTTGATTCCCCTCCGGGCGCCGTCGGCACTTTTCCCTCTCCGCCTTCGCGATACATTTTTGGCGTGTCCAACGCCGCATCCTGTTCTGCGGCCTTTCACAACGCCATGAAACCGCTTCTGTACGATTGGTGTCGCGCCACGGATGAGGGGATGGAAAGCATTTCCCTGCTGGCCAAACAGGGCTCGCAGCTGCGTGTGCTGCTGAAGGTGGTGCAGCTGTTGGAGGCGTCCTACGCATCGGCCGAGGCGGTGCGGCAATCTCAGCTGGCCGTGCGGGAGACCCAATGCAGACAAGGAGAAGCGCATGGCCGTGTGGAATAACTCTTCTGTGGTGTGTGTGTGTGTGTTCACTGCTGTTGCTGCTGCACTTTACTTCTTCCCTGCTCTTTTACGTGTTTCTAATAATGGATGTCTTCGCTCTTTACTATCCTTATTATTATTACCGTTGCCGCTGTGATTCAACAACCTTC